TTCTTTTAGATAAGTATTGAAACCAGTGACTTATCTGCTATAACTAGCTGTTGACAACACTAGGATGAGGATGGGAACCATGAATGCTATTGTATCATAAGAGAAATTCTTAGGTAATTTCTAGTCTGCTGCTCTAAAGTAGCATCAAAGTATTGGGAATGTTTTACTTTATTTTATAAGCATTCTTTGATAATCTGATTATACTCTGTACCTTTTAGTTCTGGAGTTTATGTGGAAATGCTCTGACCCCAAAACGAGGAGTCTTTGGTAAGACTGGCGACCTTCAAACAATATTGTGCCTGGCCTGTGCAAGGGATGAGTTAACATATTCTGGTGCACTCAATGGGGATATATATGTATGGAAAGGAATCAATCTCATACGAACAATACAAGGGGCCCATACTGTAAGTACATTTAAATATTTCCAAACACTTTTTGATGTTAATTGCTTATCTTCTTGTCTTAGAACAGAAGATTACATAATATAGAGAACTTTCTGATCAGTCCAGTGACTTGGAAAATGTTATAACAGAATTAATTTTATGCCTATCTGTAATTAATTTTTATAGGATATAAGGTTTAACTTTATTTTCTTTTATGTTATGTGCATATCATTAAATACTTCTTTGGTCATATATTGAGTTGCTATATGTAATCTATTTCTAGATTTTATAGATTTTCTTAAAATGTAAAATGTGAAATTATTTCTCTTCCAGGCAGGAATTTTTAGCATGAATGCTTGTGAAGAAGGCTTTGCCACTGGTGGCAGAGATGGCTGTATTCGTCTTTGGGATTTAACTTTTAAACCAATTACTGTGATTGATCTCAGGGAAACAGACCAGGGATACAAAGGTAATAACAAACCAAATAGTATCTCATTACTAGGCAAATTCTAAATTTACCTAGGATTGTCTGTTTCTTTCAGGAAACATGAATGTATGTTTTAGAAATATAATGAGACATTTGCCCGTTCACAGTGTATACATTTCATTGGAATTTTTCTGTTGAAGAGAAATTTTGCCTAAAGCCAGTCTAGGTTTACTGTTACGACAAAGATTCTTTCATGTCTGATGACTGTTATAATGGACCTAAAGAGAGATGTGATAGATACTTACTTGGTAACCTTGGGTCTTGAAACGATTTTACTATTACAATGCTAGATGTAACTTTAGCAAATAAACTTTTGAAAAGAAAGTGTGTCAAGGGTTGGAGGAAACTGTACACAGCACCTCTATGTTGGTCATAATGTATAGATAAGAAAACTGAAACATTAGCTTTCCCCAGGTTACAAAAGGAATTGTGAAGTATACAGAAAAAGTAGAAGTCTCTTTTTCTTTTTTAATTAAAAAATTTTTTAAACCTCATACTCGGGTGAGAATTAAAATAATAATAATAATAAAAAGAGAAGTATTCCATATAGAAAACAGTACAGAGAATTGAAAAAGATGTATGGATCAGAGACTTACAGATTTCTTTTATCTTACATCTAAGGTATAAAAAGGTATAAAAATTAATACCAGTTTAGGCCATCGGAATTCTGTTATTACAGCATTGCTCTTAAATACAATTCACTTTTGACTAGGTTTGTCTGTGAGGAGTGTTTGTTGGCGAGGTGACCACATTCTAGTTGGAACACAGGACAGTGAAATTTTTGAAATTGTGGTGCATGAAAGAAAGAAACCCTTCCTAATTATGCAAGGGCATTGTGAGGGTGAACTCTGGGCACTTGCCATCCATCCTACAAAACCTTTGGCCGTGACTGGAAGTGATGATCGTTCAGTCAGGTAAGCCAATTATAAAATAATAGTGTAGGCTGGAATTTGTTCTTAAACATAAGAAAAACTTTTTAAAAATACATTTAAATTTTGTCAACTTTTGTGATACAACAAATAAACATAATTAAGAGGCACTTAAAAATTAATAGAATTAACTATAAGATTTGTTTTTTCCCATTAAAAAACATTAAGTTGGAGTTCGTTCCATTTCAAAATATACAGAGCTACCTCCACCTTTTTAATATCCTGTAATATTCCATTGCATGGATATGCTGTAATTTATTCAACAATAAAATGTTGTCCAGATAACTTCACCACAGTACTGGCTGCACATATAAAGGCTGCTTTTGCCTTATAATTTTAGATTGAATTCATTAAGAAACAGTATCAAATCTGTAGCAAAAGCTAATTTCCAATGCTGCTGTTCAGTGTTTAATAATAGTAATTGAGAGCAGTTCTGGTTCAGAAAAATTTCATTCTTGGCTCTGAGATCAAAATACAATAAAAATTTATCACTGCTAAGCCATTAAACTGCTGTTTAGTAGTGCAAGTTAGAATTTTTAACTTCTATTACTGACAAAAATGCAGACCTGATGGAGGTTAGATCCACAAGAGCAAATGAAGCTCAGGGTTATCACTATTGGTTCAAAGAAACAATTCAAAATTTTTTTTGCTGAATACTTGCTAAAGAATAATACAATGAATACATAGGCTTTGTAAGAATTAATAAACAGAAACCTCATTTAAAATGAAGTCAGGAGGCCAGAAGGGGGAGCTCTCATTCCCCATGGTCAAGGAGAACAACAGGAAGAACTCTTTTTTTTTATTTTGTGGGGTTTTTAAAAATATGTTTTTACTGATTTCAGAGAGAGAGGAAAGGAGAAGGAGGGAGAGAGAAAGATCGATCTGTTTCCTCCTGTAGGCAGATGGACCCACAACTTGGGTATGTGCCCTATCTGGGAATCAAACCCGGGTCCTTTTGGTGTACCAGTACTTGCTCCAACTAACTGAGCCACATGTGCCAGGGTGGGAAGAGCTCTGTTTTATAACAGCTCTCACAACTTCTTCTCCTTTATAAATGAGTTTCCTCTCCTTTGTTTCTCTGGACTGTGTGTGGTTCACCATTAGACAACATGTTCCAGTTACAATTCTTCTTTGTAGTCAAATAAACCCATTTTACTGGAGAAACACCTGGCTGTTTTCACAGGCTTTATAAACTAGTCTGAGGCATATCCCCCCATATTTTTACCACCATTTGATTCCACTTTATGTGGTGTCAGATTAGTGCTTTCTCACTAATGCCTTTAAAAATATTCTAGCCTACAGTTGTTCCACACAGACTGTTCATAGAAGCTATTTGTTCATCACTGCAAACTTGGCATTGGCACCTCAAATAAACAACTGAGTAGTATCCATAACATCTGTGGATTTATCAAAATTCAAGGAAAACCAACCACTTAAAATTATTTTCCTTGTTTCTTAATTAGTTGTTGGTGTTGTTCCCAACACTCTCATCATCTCCTTGAGCAAACTGTTCTCACCAAAAAGCTAATAGTCTTTTATTTTTTCCAGACACATTTCTTCAGCTGCTGCCATTCAAAATAATTTAGTTAATCCTTTACTAATAAACAGTTTTCTTTGCTTGCCTAACAAATGAGCCACTCAGAAACTTACTTTTGTGGAAACCTCGTTTTAATTTTAAAGAAATTCTGCTGCAATGAGATATTTTGTTTTAAATTTTCTGACCATTGGTTTCCTGTGAGTTGAACATATTGTGATGAGCGCTTAGTCTGAAAATAACACATATTTGTATTCTTTTAAAAAAGCTATTGTGTCATTGCAAAATAAACATAATGCTTTACTAATTCAGTAACAGTATAATTTGTAATTAGCTTTAAAAATGTGCCTTAAAAATGCAGTACTCGAAGTTTACTTTTCTGTGTTTTGTTTTGTTTTCTTGTTCTGACATGGATGGGTATGTACTAGAAATTAAA